TCCTTTTACAAACTAGTATTTCTTATGATCATTTTTAGTATTTTTCTTAAACGATGGAGTCCAGCTTTGAATGTTTCCCAAAATGGGTTTCATGGGAGAGTTCATTTTGTCTACCGCATTCCCAGGGAAGCACATGGTTAATGACGTGCTCCTTTGCATGTCTCGCAGCCCACCACCTGCTGAAGAGAGGTGCTCTGATTGGTTCCTGGCATTCGGGTTCCATTAATGCAGTTTTGGCAGCCTGTCCATCACCAGTGCCAAGGGCCGGGGATTAACCTGAACCTCTGTGGCTCCACCCCCAGAGAAAATGGGGGCCTAAGGTGTTATAAATCCAGCTGGCTTTTGGATTCAATATTCTAAAAATATACTACAAGAAAAGAACATATTCCCACTACTCGGAGTGTGGATACACTTAATATAGTAGCCGAAAGGTCACTGAGTTAGCTACTGAAAAATAGAAATGAGGATGTGAATATCAATGAAAACAAAGGTTTTTCTACTATTATGTTTTTCTTTCTGCAATCAGGTTTGCATAGGACAAAGTAAATGGGCAATTTAATTTAGCAATTCGTTAATTCATTGATGGAGTCTGTTAATTCTAACAAACCAAAATTCAAGGTTTTGGGTATGGACCATTTTCGGCTTCTTTGCCTCAATCACTCAATCCTGAGTTGACTCAAATGTAAATCTGATTAACACCAAGGAATCAGTTCTCATGAAGACTCTCCCAGGTGAATATACGTGTATGAAGAGAATGTGGGAAGTGTGTAAATGATAGTACAGAAAGAATATGTAGAAAATAGCTCTTCTGGCAAGAAAAGAGCTTTTTTTTTTCTTCAAATTATACTTTTTATTTTGAGATATTTGTATTCTCCTGCACCTGTAAGAAATAATACAAATGGATCCCATTTATCCATTTAGGCAGCTTCCCCTGATGGTAACATCTTACAAAGCTATAGTAACAACCAGGATACTGACATAGATACAATCAAGATATAGAACATCATGGGGCGCCTGGGTGGCTCAGTCGGTTAAGCTTCTGCCTTCGGCTCAGGTCACCGTCCCCGGGTCCTGGGATCGAGCCCCGCATCGGGCTCCCTGCTCTGCGGGGAGCCTGTTTCTCCCTCTCCAATCCCCCCAACCCCCGCTTGTATTCCCTCTCTCGCTGTCTCTCTCTCTCTGTCAAATAAATAAATAAAATCTTAAAAAAAAAAAAAAAGATCTAGAACATCGTGTTAGGGAGGTCCTCCACGGTGCCTTTCATAACCACAGCCACTTCCCTTTGGAACCCGCCTTAATCTGTTCATCCATGAATCTGCTCTCCATGTCTGTAACTTCGCCATTTCGAGAATTTGGGAAGTTTTTGGCCATTATTTCTTCAAGTAGATTTTCAACTCTTCCCTCTTTTTCATCTCCTTCTGAGACTCAGATGACACAAATGTTAGCTCTTTTGTCATAATCCCACTGTCCCCGTGGCTCTGTCATGTTTTTAGTCTATTTTCTCCTTGTTCTTCAGATGTGGTACTATCTATTGTCCTGTCCCTCCTTGGTCTCTTCCATTCTGCCGCTCAGAGCTTTCCTGTTTCAGTTCGGAAATTCCTGTTTGGTTCTTTCTTCACATCTTCTGGTCCTTTGCAGAGGCTTTCTGATTTTTTCATTCATTATAAGTGTCTTTGTAATTGTTCATTGAGTAATTTTTCTATGGTTGCTTTAAAATTTTTGTCAGATATTCTAACATCTGTCATCTTGGTGTTGGCTTCTGTTGATTGTCTTTTTTCATTCAAAATCATCCTGGTTCTTGGTATGCCAAGTGATTTTCCACTGAAACCTCATTTTCATATCATATTATGAGATGATGGGTCATAATATAAAGTTAATATATAATGTTAATATATACAATTAAAACCTTCTATTTTAACTGTGCCACCTTATAACTGCCAGGTGGAAGTAGAAGTTCAGGTTTTCCACTCAACCTCTGTTGACACTGGATGCAAGGGGCTCCTCTTTACTGCTGGGGGGTGTGAGAATTTCTGGCTCCCCACGTGGTCTCCACTGATACTGTGGTGGGGTTGCCCTGTGCCTTCTGGGTGATGCTAAAAGTCCTGACCCTCCACTAGGACCCCTGCAGATACTACTCTAGCAAGGAGAGGAAAAGCACTTGCTTATTCCCTTACTGACAAGGGCAGGTGGGTAATTGGGTCAGCCTGATCCCCAGCTTTCACTTGGCCAGGAAACCAACCACCACTCCAGCAATTGACAAGCTCCCACCAGACGCCCACGGTTGGAATTTGGGTGAAACTCTTTCCCAAAGGACAGGAACTGGTGCTCTCAGAACAAGGTTGGAAGGCACTGGGTAGAGAAAAACAACAGTTGCCTAATAAATGATTACTGTTTTGGGGTAACTTAGAATGCTTACTTGTTTTTTGATGTTTTCAGTGATTGCGGCCTCTTAAAAAAAGGCTGAGGGAAAGTGGAATAACACTCAAAGCTTTTTATCTCTTTGTTTAACATTCACTTGGTCTGCAAGTTTTTACTGAATGATTACTTTGTGTTAGGAATTGTGCTAGATATTGGGAACACATTGGTGAAAACCACACGATCCTTTTCGCAATAAGTATACAAGTCTGTACGGAAAGTTAAGGGGTTAGGTTTGGCAGCTGGGTAAAAAGATTGGAAATTTTGGTTAAGATCATATATTTGTACAATATCTTAATTTAAAATAATTAAAATATACATATGTGAATACAGCTCTATTTTTAGCAGGAAAAGTGCTTTTCCTTTTTTTTTTTTGTTTCACCATGTTTTCCCCCAAGCTTTTACAGTGACTATGACAACATGTATTTCTATTTTATAATCAGAAGGATGTTAAAAATCATGTAGTTTTTTTTCTTTTTTCTTTTTTTTTTTTTTAAACTGTAACTTCTTAAACAGGATCATCTCTGTTCCTCTTTCTGGTAAGCAATGAGCCTTGACAATATGTAGCGACTTTAATTTCAAAGTTGATAAATATAGTCATTATAATTTACTTTTCACGGTTAGCTTTGCTCTGATATTAAAGACACTGGGAGGTAACCCAACCGAAAAGGGGTGACAGCGACTCCAAGATGAACAATGGCTAGGTCAAGAGAGGCCACGGCCCTCCTCTATGAAGAGGAGAGGATCTGAGAACCTGAATCCATCTGTCGTTTACCACCTGGGTAACTCCAGATGTTTAAACTGTTTGAGCCTCAGTTTCTTCTCCTGTCCATTTCGTAACTTACAGACCTCAAAAGAGGGACTGAGGGCATCAGGAAGACACCAGCATATAAAAAAAGCAAGTTGTTAGCTCTGCAGCAAATATCAAGATGAGTTTCCAGTGTTCCACTATTTTTTGGTGGTTTTATGTTCAACTAAGCCTCCAAAATGATCAGATTCACGGTAGTTCCCTAAATGGTGGTAGAAAATCACAAAGACCAGGTGAGCAGAAACCTGCTTTGGATGAAGATAAGGCAGATGTCAGCTCCTTTCTAGATTGGATTTGTGCTTTCAGGGGGAGTCTCTGAAAATGCATTTAACTCTTCCAAAATTTTAACAACCATCTGTCTTATTTAGGGCCCATGATGCAAGGGTTTTGTTTTTTAAAGATTTTTTAAAGTAATCTCTATACCCAACAAGGGGCTCAAATTTACTACCCAGAAATCAAGAGTCACATGCTCTACAGACTAAGCCAGCCAGGCACCTCCACAAGTTTTTAAATTTAACTCTAGGGATATGGGAAGCACATATTATCAGCCAGGCAGTATGCTAGATTCTATATATAAAAAGATGAATTAAAATGCAGTCCTTAATCTCTTGGGACGAGAGCACTTTAAATGTAATCAGAACAGCACAAAACTATTTAAACCTGCCCTTGAAAATAGATGAATTTATGATATTTTCATCAATACATGATTTGTCCTGCACAATAAACCTAGATTTTTGAATTTTGAAATATTTTATGTTTAAGAAAGAAAATTGTTCCAAATTTAAGGAAATCACCTAACTAGAACCCCAATTTCTGCATGTGGTTGAAAGTCCTTTAAGAAAGAGGTAATTACAAAAATTCCAGTTCTCCATGAAGTTATTGCAGATGCTTATATATTATGAATATATATGTATCATAATGCAAGTTTAATTTAATTTAAAACATCGAACACCTATAAGGAGAAACTGGGCTGTTTGCTTGCCTCGATACAAAGAAATTTGCGCCGTGAAGGCCCGGGTCTTCACAAAGATGCGATGTCATTAAATTCTAGGTATTTACATGGAAAGGGAATAAAACTTTAAGAAGAATTTCCTTTTTCTATTTACAGGAGGGAACACCGAAGGGCCATTTTAAGGCTCTATAAGTGCCATATAAATCTCCAAAAGAGGTTGTGATGTATTAAACAAAGGATAACACCAACCACGGGGAAAAAAGAAAAAAAAAATCATAGAAACGGGGAGAAAATACACTTCCTGGCTCGGAAGGTCTTAAAAGTTCTGAGCCAGGAAACCTTCCGCACCAGGGCGGGGAATGTCTTTGGCTCTCTAGTGACTCCCTGCTAAGTTCCCCTCAAGTTTTCCCTCCCTCTTTCCTCCATTCCCCGCCTCAGTCCCCAAAAGTGGGAGCCACAGGAGAATGTCAGCACATATACCTGACTTTGTCAGACCGAATCAGACTCCGCTGCCTGTTTATTTTAAAGGCCCCCACACCCCAAATAGGCCGTATTTGCCGGCAAACCCAAGGGATTTCAAACGACGCCTGGAAGCTCATCTTACAAGTTGGGGGCCAAGCCTGCAAAAGAACAATAGTAAAATAGAGCCAGGAGCACGTTCCTTCGCTCAGAGCGGTTCTCCGGGGGAGCGCGAGGGCCTGCACCTTGGCCGGGGCCGGGAGCCGGAGCCCCGAAAAGGCGCGCTGCCCCTTTAAAAGGCCGCGCATCTCCGGGCCGGCCTTCCTCCCCGGGGCTCCAGCTGTGATTGACGCTGGGCGGCGAGAGGAGGCGCCTGGCGCTAACAAAAGTCCGGCCCGCGGGCGAGCTGCGCCGGGCCGCGAGTCTCTGCTCGCTCGGGGCACCCGCAACAAGTGGCCGCTGCGCCCTCCCCGGGGAAGCCGCGGGCGCGCAGGGGCGCCGGGAGGAGGCGGCCGAGCCGGGGAGCCCCGGCCGCCCGCGCGGCTCAGCCCCACCGCAGAGGGATCGGGGCGGGCGGATGGGGACCCGGCGGCGGCGGCGCGGCGAGCCTCTGGGCGGCCCCGGGGCGCGGGCTCTCCGCCGCGCTGCGCCCGCTGGCCCGGAACGCGGATTCTAAGAGCGGCGGCTGCCCCCGGCCCCACCCGGAGCCATCGGGGGTGCCAGGCGGGGACGGAGCGCCCCCTCCCACCGGAGTGCAGGGGCCGCCCCCGGTCGGAGCCCGGCCCCGGAGCGTGGGGTATGCGCAGCTAACGGTCCCGTCGGGCGGGCTTTCCTCTGGTGGAGCGCGCAGGCGGTGCGCCCCAGCTATGGAGTGTCCGGGGAGACGGCGGGCATGACGGCGGCAGGATGGGCGCGAACAATGGCAAACAGTACGGCAGTGAGGGTGAGTGGGCCGTCCGTCCTCAGACTCCCGGATCGCGCCCCCCTCCCTTCCCCCTCGCCCTCCCGTCTGGGAAGGAAGGTTCTCGCACGCTACAGTGGCGCACCCCCATTTGGCACCGTGTCCGGGCCGTCACCTTCCCCTTGGCACTGAGTGCTGAGGCGCCCCGAGGATGCTTTCCCACCGTGGGGGTCTCATTAAGCAACTTCCCAGGTTGTCTTTAGGACGGCTCAAGTTTCATTTCTGCCGTATTTCTGAGCACATGTGCCTCAGCTTTCCTTCTCTAAGCATCTGGGGTTTAGGATGATGGTTTGGCAGAGGGCGGAAGACGTTTTTGAAAAATTACGCTGTGAAAACTTTCCCAGGCCTTTGTGCTGCAGTCCCCTGGACTCTCCTGTAGCAGGAACAACTTCTGGAAGAAGAAGTTAAGTTTCCATTCTCTGCTCAATGCCCCTGAGCTGACAGCTTCGTGAAACACCACCTATGGGCCTCGCGAGGCGAGGAGTGGCCGGGGGCTTTGTTTGGGCCCTCGCGGGGCTCAAGACGGGCAAAGGACCATCTGTTAACGTGGGGCTGGAAATTGCACAGAAATATTGCCTGTCAAGTGGGAACTTGGAAGTTGGGGAAACTTTAAACTCCACCTACTCCTAAAAGGATGATGGATGTGTGGGTTGGCTTCTCCCTCGCTCCTCCTCCTCTTTGCATAAAACCGTAGTATTGTAACCTAGCTGATTAGCAGCTTGCCCCCGATATGCATCCTGCCTGGGCTTTTTCCGCCGTTCAAAAGTTTGTAAGGTTTGTCTTTCTTGAACTTGGCTGGAGGGGAGTGGAAGAGATGGGGTTGCTTTCATCAGCCCTCCCCCAGAGGACAGGCGGTTACAAACGGGGTCCAGCGCCTGCAGACTGGTAGGAATGCAGAATGGCTGTTCAGCATGTGGTGTTAGGGAAACTCCTATCATCCTGTTCAGAACTTTTGAGGTGTGGTCACAGAACGTGGATGTCTCTCCCCGTGTTTGTGTCTGTGTTCGTTCTCAGCAGCTTGGTGAAATTACAGCAGAAACCGACCCTAGAAAACCATATCCACAAGAGCTTTCTGTTTAAATCATTCTTTTCCAGATCACTATGTTCTGAATTCCATATATATATAATCTCCTTATTCTGGGCAGTTTCGTGAGAGAGATTTTTTTTTTAATAATTTCATTTAAAAAAAAGTTAAACGGTTGTCTTTTTAGATAGCACATGTGAAAATAAGCCAACAAAGATTACTGGAGAATCTCGGACACTCCTCAGAACTTCTCAATGTTTTAAAAATTAGTAGAAAAATGAAAGATTAAGCCTTCTTACTCTGAATATTAAAAAGCTTGCAGGGAGTAAAGCGTGTGCTTGTCATGGTGGGTGTGCATACATTGTGATACTTGAACACGGTGTGTGTGGGGGGGAAGGGACACCCCAAGAGGTAAATGGAGTCAGGGCTCTGCGTTGTTGAATGAAACCCCTCCAACACCCCTCCTAATCTTCTGCAACTTGTTCTTATATCCCAGCATTCTGGTATTGTACAGTGTGTGGTGTATGACGACTTCCTGTCTGAACAGCAGTTTTCAACCCTTGGGAGAGAAAAGGAGAGACAGAGAACTAATGATCTCCAGCTGTTATCCGTAAATGCTACCTTCGCATTTTCACTTCAGCTGAAGTGAAATTTTACTAGGATCAGATTTAGATACACTGTGGAACTTTTTATAGGGAAAACCTCTTGGGCTCAGCTGATTCAAGGGAACCAATAGGAAGCTTTGGGTGGTAACTGAGTTTTAGCTGGAGGGACGCATTGTGCTTAGTGTCCAACTCTCTTCCAATGCTTGGAGATTCCTCTGTGATCATCAAGGAAAAAATAAAGAAGTAGAAGTAACATGAACTTAAAAAAAATCTTTTCTAACCCCCAGTTACATTGGACTTCTCCTAAATAGGGTTATAACATATGTACAGTTGACCCTTGAACAGCATGGGGTTTAGGGACACCAGCTCCCCTACAGTCAAAACTCTCAGTATAACTTTTGATGTCCTCAAAACTTAACAGCTAATAGCCTACTGTTGACCAGAAACCTTACTGATAGCATAGACAGTTGATGAACACATATTTTGTATGTTACATGTGTTATATTCTGTGCTTACAATAAAGTAAGCTAGCGGAAAGAAAACGTTAAGAAAACCATAAGGAAGAGAAAATAGATTTACAATCCTATACTGTATTTATAAAAAAAATTACATATACGTGAACCCACGCAGTTCAAACCTGGGTTGCTCAAGGGTCAGCTCTAATTGGTATCTGTCAACAGTGTATTATTGGATGGCCAAATATATGCAACTAAGCCTGTTGGAATTCAATGTGTCAATGCTGTCTTTCTTATCTAAAATGTCAAATTTCAAAGAACGTGAAATCAGACCTTCAACATAGTATCTCTATTAAGACTGAGTATTAAGACAGTTGTAGTAGATTTGGTACAACTTCGGTATGGTTTGAAATTAAGATTTATTTCAAAGATTTATTTCAAACCATACCTAAATTGTACTAAAAGGGGGAAATTATTAGTGGATGCATATCCACTGAATGCAGTGAGACTGCTCTACTCTAAAACATAGGGGTTTGTGCAGACTTTAACAGTCTGCTCTTTATATTTTAGAGTTGACGCCACGATGTAAATGCAAACCACCTTAATTTTACAAGTAGTGTTGAGTTATTGGAATGTTTAAGACTTCAGTATTTCACTGTAATCTTACTTTCTCTTGCTCCTGGAAAACCCCTTTTTCATTAAAACAACAAAAATTCTTCCTGAGACTTACCTTAGCAGGTGCAACAAGAGCGATTTCTTATTCTGTATACTCCAAGGACCAGCGACAACAGCATCACCTTGGAGCTTGTTAAAAATGCAGAATCTTGGGTTCTTCCTAGAACTGAATCATTTATCGTGCATATATTAAAATTTGGGGGAAGTTCTTGTGTTGAGCAGAGAGCGTTAATTTGGGAGTCTGTAAATTTGAATCCAGCTTCAGTTTAACTACTGTGACCTTGTTCAATTCTCCTGACATCAAGAAAGACCTGAAGGCTTTTTTCTCTAGAGTGAGGAGAGGAATTCCTTATTGACATTATCTATCAAGATCTAATTCTTGAGCACACAGCCATTCAATTTATTTTGCTCTTACAATGCTTTAATGGACCACTTAACAGAGATTAGCCTTGGAAGGTATGTTATGATAAATAAGGAAGTTAAGACTGTTATTGCCATGAAATCCATAAGTGCCCCTCCCCGATTTTGTTATCCCCTTTTCCCTCATCTCTGTCTTCTTCACTTATTCTCCTCTCCTCTCCTAATTCAACCAGTCCTGAAATCCCTGCTTTTCTCTTTAAATTCTAGGTATGGATAAATAATGGGTGTTTCCAAAGTGTTTTGTTTTCCTAAATACTTAGTGACTATTCAGGTTAATGGTTTAATTTGTAGCTCTTCCTCCCCCCGCCCCACCCAAACTCGGATTTTGCTCCAGGAAAAAGTTACCATACCATTCCTGATTTTTAGATTTCTAGAAACATAAATGAATATCTAAATGAATAGTATGTTCTGGTAAATTCCTTTATGGAGGTCTGTTTTTTTCTCTTTATCTTCTTCCATAATGTATAACTTTCAGCCTGTGTGTAGAAATCTGGGAAATGAGTTGGAGTGAAGCAAAGCCATTATGAGCATTAGCTTTGACGCCAGTTAAGCCAAATAAACAAATCTTGTTCAAGTAGGAAGAGGCAGGGTGCTTTCCCCTGCCTTTTAAGGTGTGGGAGCCTCACCCTCATTTACTCAGTGGTTTCATTGTTAGGTTTACTCTACTCCAGCAGGTCGGGGGCAGTAACACACAGTTAACACCTCCTTTGCAAAATCCTGGGTGGTGTTGAGTTCGAGCTGATGAGGCCATAGTGATGGGGTCTGACCCTCGGTGGCTCTACTACTCTGTCAAGTGCCCTGGGCCCCTTTTCACCATGTCAGATCCGCGCTGTCAGATACGAGGAGAGCCAGTTGCCTGAACACTTAACTCATCGCTCATCCATCACCACCTTGGGAAACGTATCTTGGAATAATAATAATAATAATGGCAGCTAATGTTTATTGAAAGCTTACTACGTCCAAGCATTATTCTAAGCCATTGACATACACCGACTCATGCAATCCTCATGACAGTTCTAAAGGCAGGCACTCCTGAGGTCCTCATTTTGCCAATGGGGAAACACAGCTGCAGAGAGGATGAGCATCTCTCCGGGTCCTACGACTAGTACAGGTGGAATTGGGACTCAGGGCCAAGTCTCCGTAAGCCCAGTTCTTTATTCCTTCATTCATCTAATGTATGCTGACTTCTTATTTCTTACTCTGTGCCAGGAACTCTTCTGGACAGTTGCGATGCATCAGTGAACAGATTAAGATGCCGTACTTGTCAGTCTTATCTTTGTGTGTGTGTGTGTGTGTGTGTGTGTTGGGACGGATGGGAAGTCGAACAATTAGCAAGTGCATACACACACACAGCAATTCAGTAAACCATGTGATACATTCTAAGGGGCTGATGTCTCTGAATAAAAAAGTCATCAGATTATTGGGGATTGGGAGGAACAGGTTGTTGCAATTTTAATTAGAATAGTCACCATTGGCCCTGTTGAAATGTTGGCATTTAGACCAGGACTTAAAGGAAGTGGAAGACTGACCCTTAAGGATCCAGGTAGAAGATTGCCTGTTATTTGGAACTACCATGTTATACCAAGGGGAGTACTCTTTATGCTGGGGAGCATAACTCCTCATTTGATGCAAGTGTCACATCACTAGTCTTCTATCCATAGCTACCATGGAACAGAGTCAGTTTTGGTCACTGGGCACTTTTTTCTTTTTCTTTTTTTTTTTTTTGCCAAGAGTCTTTGGAAGTATCTTTTATCTGATTATATCAGATATTTTGTGACCACTTTTGGGTGGAGGAAGCCTAGGACATGCTCTTCATGCTGCGACCAAGGGATATTGCCTGACTTGCTGGATATATAGAGAGAACTCCAGAGATCTCTGTAATATTTAGATAGAAGTAGGTTTTCATCTTTTTGCCTCCAGTAATTAATTTCATTCTGTTGAAAATCAGAAGATAAACCATACTGATTCCACTCTTCGGTTCAAATCAAAGCATTAGCATAGCTAATGAGACCACCTTTCATCTGACAGAAGATATTTTTAGAGATTTGGGGAATCTTTTGCACATTTAAAATGAGATAGCAAAGAGAGGGAACTTTTCTTTTCCCTTGGGAATCAACTCATACTAAAATGAATTCTGGGTTGATTTTGAGTAATTAATAATAACTTTAGACCTTAGCCTTTATCTACTGGTGTCTCTTTTAGGTGTTAAAAAAATATTCCCCCACTTTCCCTGGGGGAATTAATTCTCTTTCTCTCTCTTGGTATCTGTCTATTATATGTATGTGTTTATGTCTGTTTAGATATATTTAGGTATTAATTAGAAAATTCTGGGGCGCCTGGGTGGCTCAGTCAGTTAAGTGTCTGACTCTTGATTTCAGCTCAGGTCATAGTCTCAGGGTCCTGGGATCCAGCCCAGCCTTGGGCTCCATGCTCAGCAGGGAGTCTGCTTGAGATTCTTTCTCTCTGCCCCTCTCTCCTGCTCCTGTTCTCTCTCAGATAAATAAATCTTAAAAAAAAAAAAAAAGAAAGAAAAATCTACTGACTTTATGTATTTTCCTGCCTTCTGTGAACACAAACTCCAGCACCAAAAATTGGGTTTGATAAATGACTTATCCTTATTTTCAGTGTAGTGAAGGACACTGACTCTACCTATAGTTTTACTGTTACTTTTATTATTACCCTAAAACATGTGGATCTGCTGAACTTGAAGTGAGGTCCTTAATTGTGCTGATGTTGAATGCCTTGAGTAAATGTTTTAACTTCCTGTTTAAGACTTTTAATCGGTATTATTGGTTAGTGATATTTAATCAGAAGCTGCAAATTGACTAGAACCACACAAAGACAGCATCTTCCTAAGAAGCTCGGATACACTTTTGTTCCGCACCCTGTTTACTGTGAGTGAGACAGAACAGCAGGTCTTCCATGTAGTAACAGAGTCCATATCAGCTGAACTTTTCTAGAATGTAGCTCGTTTTGGTTTTGGTTTGGTTTGGTTTGGTTTGGTTTAGTTTG